GGCTCCAAATTTTCATCAAAGGAGAGTCTCCAGACTGAACTGCGAGGGAAACCTTGAAAGCTCGCGAGATCAGGATGGTCTCACGAGGCTAATTATCCAAGTCATCTTGAAAACATTCTTCTTCCAAATGTTGGCTACATATTACGTGTTTTTTTTTTTCTGGCCAGAAGTTCGATGGCAAATCCTCCTTCTACAAGTTGGCAATCCAACGACGAACCCGTCCGTGGAGGATCAGAAATCGGAAAGGTGAAATAACTATTTTTTTTCACTTTTACCCGATGTTTTCCAACATCCAGCTGCCATGCACGTGGGCATTGTCAGTTTCACTATAGCTCTGGTGAATTTCAATGGTGAAGTCCTCTGGAAATCTTCAATAATTGTTGCTGATTGCAGATGTGTCTAGTAGTTCCCATTGACTTTGCTTGTAAAGCGGTGATGTCACCAATTTTTTTGTTTTAATTTTTTTACTGATTAACTCTTATTTCATTAAATCACCTCGAATGTATGAGCTGACTGGACTTCTCCTTTAACGCCACTGCCCTGTGCTGCAGCAGAGATCTAAAATAGACCACCTCTCTGTTCTGCAGTACCAACATTAACCCCCCCCCCACAGGAGTCTCCCTACCCACGCTGACCTGCACATGTGCTTGAACACGCATGTGGGCATGTTGTGTGTGCATTCTGTTGTCTGTTTGTTGGAGACAAATTGAGAAGATAATGAGAACTTGATGGAAAAAGGAAAGCAGCGGATGGGAAGAGGCTAAAATGAGGGCAGCACATAACAGATAAATTGTATGTTTCTTTGTATCACAAAGCGGGATGGAAAATGATGGATCGGGACATGGATTGAAAAAATGCAGTGAAACTAAGAAAAACCTATTAGCTTAATTCTCCATCCTAAAATCCCCAATAGACGACCTTCCCTTTAAAAACCAGCTTCGCGTTTTGTTCTGTTGTGGCTTTACCTGCGAGAACAGAACATTTTCTCTTTGAAAAAAACAATTTGTTTTAAATTACAACCAAAACCACCCGAGCAGCAATTACTGGTATGTTTTGACATTGCGCTCAAGATTAGCGCGGGTCTGCTGTGCTTTCTGGAAAAAAAGCGGCAATTACAGCGTCTAGCACCGAGGCTGCTTCAGTAATGACACGGCTACTCTGCTGCAATCACTAAATTAGAGAGAGATAGAGAGGAAGGGATGCTGCTGACAGTGGAGACTGCTGGAGATAGAAACGGGGTGGGGTGTGTCGAGGTTTGAGGAGAGAAAGCAAAAAATAAGATGTTTGCTTTGTGAGTGCGTGATCTCCTCATAATGCTGATTTTCTGTCATCGTCATCATTTCCCAACTCAACCTGGTCCTTCCTCGGAGATATTTCCAGGAGGAATCTAATCCTGCTGTGCACATAATCTGTTCTATCCCCCACTAGTGGCAGGGCTGAGACACTACACTCAGAAAATGACCATTTCTACATCTCTCCCAATGTATTCTGAACAGATTTCATACTTTTTTTCCGTCGATTCAGACGTTCTTTCCTTAATCCATTTCCCATGTCTCACTCACTTATTCTCCCCTTCTTGTTGGCTTCTTTCCTGTTTTCCGGCTTGTCCCTCGCTTGTTCTCAAACAATCCTTCATCCACGCTTCATTCTGTCCTTTCTTTCACCCTCCTGCCAAAATCCATTTCCGTCTTTCTCTGGCAAGCAACTTGCACGCCCCATTCTCCCCAAACGTCTTCCACTTTTCCTTCATCTCCATCATTTCCTGTCGTCTTCCCTCCTCTTGCCTCTGTAACAAATTCTCATTTCCGTCTTCCTGTTTTGGTCCAGTTTCGTTTTTGCACCACCCTCATATTTCACACACTTCACCTTTGTTCTTTCTTTCACCACGTTTGCAACCAAAATCACTTGATAATAAGATGTAGTACAGTGTGGCATGTGGATTGCTTGCTCTCTATTACTGACCAATCATGGATTAAACAACATATTGATAATTGAGAATATAAAGTGCACTGGAGGTTTATGCATATGTGCTCTTTCTTGGGCAAACAACATGTGGTAACTTCCTGATCGAGAAGCAAATGCCTCCCTGACAGAGATTTCATTAATCTATGCAAAATACTAGAAGAATTATAGGAGGAGGAAAGCTTTAGGGATAAATACCCTTGTGGTCAAGTGTTGCAATCGTCTTCCTCATGTCATCTACATTCCTCTGTGTCTTGTCTGCGTATTTGCATCTGTTTGGATCCACAGAGAAATCTGTCATTCTGAGGAAATTCGGGGGAAAAACTTCCCCACCAGCTGAAGCCTGCTCTGCATCAGAAAGGAGGAGGGGATTGGGTGGCGAGGGGGCGCTGGTAGATTAAACAGCTGTGCCCCACTCTTCTCCCCAACCCACTGGAATCCTAATGCTTGCCCCAATCCCAGGACTCTTCCCTCTGCTGGATATGAGGTGAGACAATTAGACTTTAGTCTGATAGTCTGATTACAAGGGAGGGAAACAAAAGCTTGCAGATCATAACTTGGCTGTATGATGTTAGGATGTTTGTTTTCTATTTTAGGTCTCAGCACTAATTGACTTATGTCTGTCAGTAAGAAAGGTTTTATTCCAGTGGTCCATGTTTTTAATCGCCTCACGCTTCCATATTTTGGGAGGGCTCCTATGTATGAAACAAACAGTGGTAGTAAGAATAATGAGGAGGTGCTTTTTAAAAGAAATTAGCAATAAAATTGGCTACAGACAGAATCTTGCTCAGGGTTCTCACAAGCGTATTTGACTAATTTTTATGAGCATATCGGCCCTTTGACTGGAATCTGGGCTCCCCTCACCCTGGGCGCTGTCCAGCGCATTCCAGCGCGAACACTGGTTACACTGAAAGTTGTCAAAATTATCCTAAAATGAGGTTAATGCTGATTTTAAAATATTTACATGCTTATTTTTACATATAGGTGAGAAAACCACTGTGAAAATGGGAACCCAGCTCCCCTCAGACTGTAAACCTGAGCGCTTGCAGGCAGGTGAACATGACCTTCCTACCAGCAGAGAATCAGCTATGAGAGCAGGAGTGATTGTCAGAGTGGGGATTTTTTTTTCTGTCCAATATAACTCAGCGTTAGGTGGGCTTGATTAGTAATGAGAC